GGGGGGGGGGGGGGGGGGGGTGCGGTAATTTACTCGCGATGCGCCGGACGCGATCCGTTCCATACTTTTTTCATCACAGCCAGAAATGGCAAATCCGCAGAGAACGAAATGTCAGATAGGATATCACAGGGAGGTCTGGGGCCAGATTACAGCACCAGATGGGGAGCGGCTCTCGCCTCTGAGTGCCCCGCGGCGCGCTAGGAATCGTAATTAAATCTGCCGTTATCCAATCTAAGAGTGCTGCAGTTTTCATGACCTTTGACCCGTGCCCGTCACTTCCGCTTCCGTAGAGGTCACCACCCTGTCCCCCTCCCCCTCCCCACCTGATGGGCGCCTCAGTCCTTCACCTCTCCCAATGCTGCACCATCCTGGAGTTTCATTTCATGAAGTTGCCAGATTCCCCCCCCCCAAACCATTAAACTACATCGTTACCATTGGTTTTTCAACCCCAACACGTTAGCTTAGTTCTGTGTCAGTTAGCTCCATCGCACGTTGGTAAAGCCTGCAAAACAGCCAGCGAGTGTAGAGGCGGCAGACGGAGCTCTGTAAATGAGGTACGAGGCCGTCGATATCCGCAGAGCAAGGCATCGATTAACAAGGGTGAATCGAGGTTCTGTGCTAGCACCATTCCCTGTTGGAAAACAAAAACAAAAATCGGTTACTAGGATTTATCAGGTTCCTCTGTCCTGAGATAGCCTTGACCTGGTCCGGAGACATGTCCGTCTCCCAGCGACAGGCCGCATCGCAGCCTGGGTCCGACTTCCTGTTATCCTGACACACCTGCAGATCACAGATGAGGGATGACTCCATTTCCCCTGGAAGGATTCGACTCTGCACACAAAAGGAAGGTATATGTACGCCTTAACAAGCAGATCCGTGCACTGCCGGTGTCCATTCTGCGCAGGGAATTGTTTTGTCACCGACGTAATTGTCAGAGCCTAATCAGAGCCTACTTTTTCCTCCCTGAAATGAAAAATGCAATGTGTGGCGTCAGCAGAAATTAATGTCATTTTTAATTTGAGCCGCTGTCCCATTTTCCTACAAGAAATTGCTTCAGAGGATTAAAGGTATGACAGTCATTATAAATGTGTTGAAATCCATCTACCTGCCACCAGCACACACACACACACACACACACACACACATGCTCTCTCCTTATTGAATCGCCCATCTTCTGGCTGAGCGGAATCACACCTAATTTAAGGAAGGGCTCAAAATGTGTGAGAATAAACAAGCAGGACACACCTGTGAGAGCCCCCCCTGGTGGAGGGGATGGGAAGGACACATCTGGGCACCATCGAGATTCAAACAGATCATCAGATACCACGGTTTGCCTGGGGATTAAAGGTGGGTCTAACACATTCTGATTAGCAGATATAGGGGGGGGGGGGGGGGGAATCTCCCTACTACAGGTCCTTATCTTTCATGACTCTGTCATATCAGTCTCTCAGCAAGAGATATTGTTTATGCTGGAATGGTGTGGATCGTTTCAGAATCTCGGTGCCGCAAACCCATCTCGGTGGAGCTGTCACGAGTAAAGGAACCAAAGAATACTAATTATTTAAAGATGACGGTTCCACCGTCAGAGAACCATACTTGTTGGCAAGCTGCGAGGCGCATATTGTATAATTGTAAGGTTGCTGCCCACTCAGTAAGTCTCTATAGGCATCCTGTCCTGCCGGATCACCACCCCGCGTTTATCCGTATTTAACGGTGATGGGGGGCTATGAAAGTGGGTGGGGTCACCCTCCGCCGTCACTCAGCGTCTGACTTAAGCCGGTGGAAATCAGTAAAGAGCCCATGGGGAAGTGAAACGATCGACAGCACGTAGTAATCCCACCCGCCCCTGCCACCTTAGGCCTGTTCCTGCCGTT